TTGTTGTCGATTCGGAGGGATCAAGGACACGTGAAAAGTTCTCAACAGGCAATAGATATTTTTCGATGATTGAAGCACGAATGTCAACAAAAATATCGGGTAGAAGAAGTTGACCATGTCGATAGAATGTAAGAATTGCAGCGAAAATTTGTGGCTCTTCGTCAACTCAGAAGAAGCCTTGATCATCTTTAGTCGATTTGAAGTCGTGATTGAAGACGAGTTGAGTGAGATAGGAATCAGGATAGGGTTTGAGCATGACACCAAGAATTGTTTGCACTGATCCATCACACAATTTGAAGCGAACATAAAGCTCTTCTGCCATAATTCGAATGGAAGATAGATGCTTAGAACGTGAGACACGGCTTAAATATGAATCATGTTGCCATTCTTTACCGTCCGCACTGTAGTGCACAAAAGGTTAAAGCAAACAAAACCCGTTCACTACTAAAGAAATAATTGTTTTCGTTGACGACAATAGTCAAACATGAAAACATGACTGCTGATAGATAGCAGATGTTAACTATATACTATATTCAAGTCACATATTGAACACCAATAGAAAATCGAGTGTATGTAGCTATGCGCCCCAGATGTGGCCACTTCCATTCTCACTCAGTCTCACAGATCGGTCAAACAATTTGTAGTATCTTCTCCTCCATTGTGGGCAGCGTAGTGTGCAAAAGATGAAAATGAATAAATTCGAGATGCATCGAAATAAGAAATCGAATCGATCAATTTGAAATTTGCTGTTGATAGACTCTGTACGAATATGAAACAAGCATTAATAGATCGATTTCTTGCTTCAACATGGGTCTATTTGAATATTCGATGTCTGATCGAATATTGATGAATGAGTGGAGACTAGATGATCGTTAGAAAACCGATCAGTTTAATTGCTGACTCAATCTATTGTTCTTTGATCATCATCTGAATATGAAATACACTCAGAATTACTAGCATCAATAATAAACATTTCTTTTTATCAGTAATGGTGATGATGTTCAATTTCCTCTTCAATAAAATAACTTTTCTATATGTCTCTAGGTTGATCTGATCGAAATTACCTTGTGTTCATTTTGAAAAATTACCGAAATTTATTCAATTAAATCTTAACTATAGACTTTGAATTTTAATATTAGCATTGAACGATCATAGAAAATAAACTGATTTTTTTCAAAGTATTCTTTGTGTAATGAAAATCATTTTTTCATATCCGAGTTCCGATAAATAACAACAACAAAAACACCTGCGTTCTTTTTCTGACTTTTTCTGAAGAAATCAAATGAATATATCATGTTCGAAATAAAGTGTGTAGTCGGAAAAAAGTCTTAAAGGAGCAAAAAAAAGTGCAAGAGAAGGACAATACAAAAAGTAACAAGAAAACCATTAAATGAAAGAAGCAAATAATGTGATATATACAATAATCAGTGAAACCGAAAGATATGCATCATTAAAGCTTTCGAGTTGTTTGATTTTGATTATTTGACTGTAGTCAGTAATTGATTAGGAGCAAATATGATCGTTATATTAAAAAGAATTGAGATAGATATGAAATCCACACTGATCATTAGATTTACTTAGGCGATTAACTGGGAAATATTCAGTGTTTAAGCATGTCAAATCATACTATTAGGGTGTGGAGGTTGGCTTTTGTTTGATACATCTTTTCATAACCATAAACACACTCATTCCTTATTTTTGATTTTAATCTGATATTAAATACAGTAAAAAATTTTTTGATTTATACATTGATGTTAATTATCTATATATGACGATGATGACAAAGTGCATTTGTTATGTTAAGGAGAAAGAAAAGCTCTGTTTTCTCTGAATTAATATATAGTAATGCGTAATAAAGAAACGATCAATCACTCGTCATTTCCAAATTACTTAATCTGTAATTTTGTACTAAGGACTTCATTTAGTTTCTTTTATTTATTTCTAACAAACAAGCATCGATAAACGCTAATTTGAATTATTTATGATGAATAGAATGTATATTATTAGATATTCCTTGATTTAACGACAATTGATTACTGAAACTTTATCTTATGTATACTTTTTTTTGCTGATAGGATAATAAGAGACGAAACTCTCCATCTATTTAGTTTTCACCAACCATATGCACCCAAAATATGAAATTTATGTGAACATAGTCTGAGAAGAATGCAAGGCAATGCCATCACTCCACTCTGATTCTTAAACTCTTCCGTATCTTCTCTCCTTTCTGTCCATGTCTACAGGTATGGACATTGATTAAATCGATTGAGACACAATACAAAGCATCTCATAAAAAACTCATTCTTATATTATTGTTCAAAATAGGTAGGTTCTGCAATTATACAAAAATATCGAATCGTTTGTTAATTTAGTTTTTTTCAACAGATCCTATATTTTCAGTACCAACTATGCCTATATCCATTGATGGATAAAATGTTAAGTGTAAAGAAAATATGATGGATAGTGCCTATTTTTGTTTCAATCTTCATAATTTGAAAGACTACCTATTGAGGGTGTGGGTGTGGGTATGCATGTATGGGTGGATGGGCGCGGGTCTTCTCTTCATGCACGCCCACACCCACACCCACAAAATATTTACGTTCAATAAATAATGCACAAGAAGAAATATTGCCTTTTTCAAATATATCATTTTCTCAAGAAAATGATTATCATAATGGAACACTTGAATATAATCTTCATTATTATCAATCACAACAAATATCAAATCTATCAATATCTCCATTTTCTGGTCTATCTGGTCTTACACATGAATAGTTTATGTCAAATTATAACTCAATTATTGGTTCATGGGATCTTGTTTATGATCTTGATTTATCATCAAAAATTATTCCATTTATTGATATTGATTGTCGTGATCATACGAATACATCATATCATTTGAATAGTTATGCATTGGATTTTTTTAAACAAGATTCCGAAGCATTATTAATTAATGAAAATGGATTAAGTCCCGGTGATACATATAGTCTGTTATTAGATCTTCATCTTGTACTTTCATCTGTTAAAACATCATTAGAAGTAATTATACGTAATGAAGAAAAACAGACTACAAGTAAAGATTTAGAAGTATTTATACCATTATATAAAACATTATCAAATGTACAAAATATATTTTCAAGAAACTTTCAAGGACAATATCCAAATCGAAATCAAATGTAAATGATTTCGCATTATGAAGTGATTAAAATATAAAGATTTTTGTTGTTTTGTTTTGTTTTGTTTGTTAAGCAACATAAAGGGTGTTTCATAAGTTTCGATCCCATTTTTATTTTATATTTGCTCTTTTTACAGGTAACAGGCATTGCCTATATATTTTTGAAGAGTGCCATCTAGGCTATCATCCAAGAGAAATTGCAATCAAATTGCATTAATCCTAAGAAAGCGCTGTATCGATGATGAGTTGGGTGGGTGTTGCTGTGGCTGTTGCTATTGATGAATAGATGATTCACACCCACACCACCACCCCCACATCCGACTAGTTTGAAGAAGCTATATTTATTTTAATGCTCTTTTGTTTCATGATTAAAAAAAACAATACACAGTTGACAGAAACGTTGTCTATAACATGGCTATGAAAGAAAATTTCAGTGAACAAAAAATGGCGATTTCTTGCTTAAGTGTCACGACCTATTTATTGTTTCGATCACTTTAACAAGATATTAATTTAGCACGAAACAGTTTACACCTGTACATTTCGGACATTTGATACCAACTTCAGTTGCAGCACCTGCCAAGAATGATTCCAAAAACCGCCTGCTGTCGCCATAGCTACTTTGGCTGCAAACGCATCTTTCAAGACTTTCGTTACGATTTGAGTCGACGCTTGTGTTCTGTCGACTGTATGACCACATTTTGTACATGCTACACTCGCCATATTGGCACAGATTATCGAAAAAAACACATGCTCAATCAGACATCTACTGTTACTAATCAATTGCATAAGAATTCTTGTTTTAATCACTTTTCTAATAAGTCAAACAGGCACAGTGCTTGATAATAGTGTTTGTTTACGTAAATTGGGATCAAGTAAGATCACTGCTCCAATTCTCATCAATTGTATAAAACTTTACCTACCTGAACCTGCGTGTATTTTGTTCAAAAAGATTTAAAATAGAAATGCACAACAGCCACAAATTTCTACTGCGATTGTACGATGAAGATCATCATGATATTGAAATCCATAAACACGTAACTTGCTTCTGTTTTTAGTATATTTCATAAAAAATCATTACAGGTGCAATACTGATACGTGCAATCATGTGCTATTTATTTGACATTACCTGAGACAAATAAGCTACGATTCTTTAACATCGATTCGCGTTTTATTTCGATAGAGAGTTTGAAAAATTCATGTGACGAGTATACTGGAAATATTCTCACCTAAGACGTATTTTATTGTTCTTATCTTTCTTTCAACATTCTGTAATCCAAATACATAAAAAAACAGAACAGAATAAATATGTGTCGAGACTCAATATATTCTTTTCCTTTCTACCAACAATATTTATCTGTCATTGCATAAAACAC